AAAATCAAATACATGTTCAACATCACCAAGTACACAAAATCATCACTTGTAAGAGTTCAACCAATCTTTTGCCCTTGTAAAATTCAAACAATCATTTGCACTTGTAAGATTTCAAACAATCATTCTTAATCAAAACATATATATATTTTTCTGTAAATCGATTACTCATTTACAACCAACTTCTTTACTAAATCATTTGGATAACCACAATTTTAATTCCTTACTAAGTACACAATCCTATACCACAATAGGCCATGTTCTCCATAAATATAAAATTTGAAAGAATCTAATAGTATGCTTCAATTAAAAATTATAACCACAAATTAATCACTTTAGCCATTAAAAATATCAGTACACCTCAAATAGGAATTTAATGATCAAACTTTAAATTAACTATACAAACATCCAACTCGCATGATCAAACCTTAAATACTTTCTTAGTAAAAATATAGAACCAAATCAAGTGAACATCCTTCTTTACGTATATAAAGCTATTTACCACAATTATAACATTTTGGACTAAATCCATCAAAATAAATTCTCCAACATTATAATCTATAAATAATTGCATCAAAATTTCAACAAATCATTTCATTATAACTCTAATATTCTATACTTTTAATTCCAACAATGTATACTCTTATTCTAATCTTCATCCTTGATCAAGGATTCACTTAACACTTATCAAATAATTTCAAAACCTCATTAAGTCAAAAGTCTTTTCTCAAACCCATAGGATCTCCAATGACCAAATTGTTCTTTTAAATAATCCTTTAACTTATAAAATATATCTCATTATAAGTGGCATCAAAAATCTTTTCAACTTATAAAATTGCACTATATCAAAGTAATTACACTTTCTCTTAACTACAAGATCCAAAAGCAATATATAAATATCAACAAAATAACTACACCAAGAATCCATTGAATCATTGATTCTTCAAAATTCATTGAAACTTTAACTACTCCAAAATTCATCGAATCATTTACTTGTACTCACCACTATAGCTTATGGATCAAAGTTATGTCCTTAAAAAATTATCACATTATCCAGAGGTCATCATCTAATTCTTAAAAATCTTCACATAATATATAGATTGTAACCATATTCATAGAATATCTCTTTCAATCCAAGGATCATAAACTATATTATTTGAAAATCACCGTTAATCTACTTATCATAAATTAACTTTTTAAAAATCTCTAAAGATTATAATCATAGTTCTTAGAAAATCCTTAAAATCATATTATAAGCTCCTTAACATCTCACATAGTTTAAGGATCATAACCTGAACTCTTAGAAAATCTTCAAGAAACATAACTTAAGCTTTTAAAGAAAATCTCAACACAATCTACAAATCATAATCTACCTCTTAAAATTCTCCAAAGATCGTAACCTAAATTCTGATACCACTTTTGTCACGTCCCGAGATCAAAACGTAACACAGCCGTATTACCTTGAAGAAAATCTCAAAGTAATACAAAGCCTTTTTTCTTAAATATTCTAAAATTTTTCAATAAAACAATCTACCAACTAAAATCTATATCTTTAATCAAATTGATAATACATCTTTATATATCCAAATACAAACCATATAAAATACAATACTATCTCTTAAGATCTCATTGGCCAACATATTCTTCAACGACTAAGTAATATTTTTCATTTCATCTTATAGCTTCACATAAGACTAACTAAACTTATCACTTAGTCATCCGTAAAGAAAAAATAAAAGGGAATGAGCAAATCACAGCTCAGTAAGTATAGGCTCACACACCTTTTCTTACACATCGTATAGATCATTCAAAACATTCATCAAATCATAATATCAAAATATTTCAAGATCATCGTTTTATCAAATATTTCATAAATTCATAAATCAATGTCAAAATATGTCACTTCATAAATCATTGTAAAATATGTTATCATTCAAATATCATAATCAAACCAAATCAAGGATCAATCATTAAAAATCATCGTAAATCATCATCATCATAAATCATCATTATCAATCGTTTATCGTTAGCTATGGTCACTGCTATAACCCGTGACATTAGCCGTATCGACAATTTTATCCTCATGATCATTGCTAACTATTATAACCCGTTAGCTAGGGCTTACGCTAACTACTATTACCCGTTAGCCAGGGTCGTATGATCATGTCTTTGGTAACTACTATTACCCGTTATCCAAGGTCGTAAAACTAGTTCTGGTGTTGATGATCCCACTTCCCAGGGATATAAAAACGTAGCTATCATAAAATCATTCTTTAAACATAAATCATTTTTTCATTTCATTCATAAGTATGATCCATCGTTTATATAAAGAAACACAAAATAATCATATGCTTGATCCTATTTTCATACATTGAAAATAATGAAATAAAATATTCATTCAATTAGAAACATACATATATACATAGTTTCAAAAACAAGCAAAGTGTGTGAGATTCTACTTACCTCCATTCGATTTCACCACTTAGTTTTTTCCCCAAAATAATTAATGGCCTATCCAAGATCATTTCAATAGATCAGAATTTAATCAACCCTTTTTGAGACCATTTATACAAAAATCAACTAAATTACACAAAGGGTTAACTTAACTAATTAATATTGGCAGCCTGACCTCTTTTCAGTAAAACAGTCATATCTCAACATATCCAAATCGAAATTATAATCTCTTTAATGCGTTAGAAACTAGACTTAATAAGCTTTCTAACTATATATGACAAACCTAGTAATTCCTTGTATATTAATTATAACAATTTTTGAAATCCACATCATATACTGCCACCAAACAGCCTGTATACCTTCTAATAAAAACTATATATTTATTCACAGGAAACTCTAAATTCAATTCCACTTGTTTCATTGGAAAGTAGACTCAATAAGCTTTCCAAAAATATATGGCTTAATCTGTAAATCCTTGTATACAAATTAAGAAGAATTTCGTAATTCAACCCTGATGTTGTTGTCTTACAGCCTGCATATCCTTAAATTAAAATTAGACAACTCTTCATAGAAAACTCGGATTTGACTTTTGTTTATTTCATTAGAAACTAGATTCAACATGCTTTCCAATGATATATAATAATCATAGCAATAATCTATCCATTAATGCAAAATTCTATTTTAATTCATTATTACAAATCACAACATCTCATCCAAAAATAGAATTTCTCCTTCAATATTTAAAAACTCAAATCCTTACTTTCAGCCTTCAAACTCCATTCAATAATCATCAATAAATCTTAAGAACATGAAATAAACAAAGTCCAGTAATTTACTCAAATAGATCATCAAGATTAATAAAGGATTTCATGATTTTATTTTTTGTTTTTCTCTCAAAACTTCAACTCCAAATAATAGCAATCAACTTGATATTTCTTTTCAAATAAAAAGAGGACATGTACTCACCTTTAAAGGATTAGGTTGATTGTAGCCTTTGATTGTGAATCTCTAACTTGATTTTTCATATTCTCTAACCCTAAAAAAGATGAGGAATAAGAATTCTATTTTCTTTCTGTTTCATAATAGTTAGGTTTTCTTTCATCTAATACTTCAGTCATTTTTCTTTTACGAAATAATGTCTTAATAAACTGATGGACTTTAGTATTAGTCTAGCCCAATTATTATTTGGGCTGGGGTATTACATTAATAATCTTATATGGTTAAGACACCAAAAAAAAAAAAATAGCTGAGTAGGCTATTAAAATAGTATAATTATATTTTGGATTAAGTTTTAAGTAAAAAGATTTTAATGATTTTTCTTATTTCGAAAGCCTCATAGTTATAAAAATTTATTTGTTAGTAGATTAGGTTTTGAATAAATCATTTTAGGTCGGACCTAAACAAATACTTTGTGTGTCTTTGTTCTTATTTTAAGCTTGCTATTTTGTATGCAGATGCTACGCATGCGTGTTGATTTTTCAACATTATTACCCTTTCAATTATTTAATTACGTCACTTGTTTTTGTCATGCACAACAGCAAACAAACTCCACTAGCTAATAGACAGTATGACGGGAAATCACACATTTTAATTCTATTCTTTCTTTTGGAACGTGGGCCAAAGTCTCAATTAGATCTCTCTTCTCATGCACTCACAATTTTCTTTCTAGTTTCTTATTGTTATTTCTCAAGACCATAGAGCACTATGAGAGATCCATTCCCAAACTTCGAACCAAAGCATTTGAAGAGCATCTTATTGATGTTAAGATTTTGCAAAGTTATGATTATCTTTGATATGATGCAAAGGGAGAGGGAATCGAGAGTGGTTCATAGATGCATGGTGGGCTGGGCAGTGATCCTAATTATTAGAGTCTCAGGTAATTAGACAGGATTTGCTGCCTTAGTTTAAAGGGCCATAGCAACCTGCCTTTTGAGCATCACTTCTGACCCACTCAAATTAATTAAAACAAAGCAACAATTTTAATTAATTACTCCTTTGTTGACTAATAATTCATCACTGTTTTGGTCATAAAGCCATCGCCTTTCATCCAATTAGAGCCTTCCTACTTGCACAAAATTTGCAATATTCCATATTCCAAATTTCCCATTTATTATATATATCCCCCTATTTTCTTCAAAGGCAGTTGAAATATCATATCTAAAGATAATTCTAGGACACTACGGATTATGTCAAAGGACAAGAATTTCCTTCACTCACCTATATCACTCCCATTTAGCTTTGTCTAATTCTTAGTCAGAATCAGAGTGCTAAAAGTTGTAAGCTTGAAAGGAAATTGTTTGCTTATTATGCAATGGATCAAAATGGGCAGCGAAGCAGCATATTGAATAATTCAATATATAAATATATATGTGTGTATATATATATATATATATGCCCTTCTTTATGATGACCTGGCTAATAATGATTGGTGTAGTGTACAGCATAAACAGGAGTAAACATATCTTTTGTGAGTCTTCCTAGTGTTACCAAAAGGGCATGAAAGTAATGGTGAGATAAGGGGTGATGATGGCACTTTCCATGGACTTGAGCTATGCCACTGAACCTTATAAATATACATATGCTAGGGTTAGGGTTAGTCATCAAACCGCATAAAGCTAGGTAGCTTTTCCTTTTCTTTTCTCTCTTTTCTGTTTTCCATGGTAGCTTAATTCACAAGGAGAGCTACCTTTTTCTTCTAGCTTTCTTTCTGGTGTTGGATGCGAAAACCATTTCCAATATTTTCAATATTTTCATCACAGTAGGGAGGAACTAGGGTTTCCAAGGGATGAAGAAACGTCAAGTAGTGATGAAAAGTGGAAGAAGTTCTACTACTTCGTCTTCGACGATTAGAAACGTGAGATACGGGGAGTGCCAGAAAAATCACGCGGCCAATATCGGAGGATATGCTGTGGATGGCTGCCGAGAGTTCATGGCAAGCGGCGCGGAGGGGACGACTGGGGCTCTAACATGCGCGGCTTGTGGTTGCCACAGGAACTTCCACAGAAAGGAAGTAAACACTGAGGTAGTCTGTGAGTATACTCCACCTAATTCTTAATATGATCAACTAAAGAACACAAAAAATAGAGTAAAAATCCCTTTGAATTTAGCTGAGTATTGCTGTTTGTAGATTAATATTGTTGTACTGGATTCTTTTGATCATCAAAGAATCTCAAACTTCAAGTACTGTGCTCTTGAAATGTGGATGATTGAAGATGTAAGCTATATCAAACTCAAAATATCTAATAACATATAATTAATTGTGTTCTTGCAGAAAGGTTGAGAGATTGATTTGAGTTTTCAATTCCCTTTTTCATTTTCATTCAAAATTTTCATTTTCATTCAAAATTTTCATTATAATTTCCACCTGAATTAATTTTAAAAGTATTAGTTGTTTATTGGAGTTATTAAGGCAATATGGAATCAAGAACACAGTACTCATAAGGAGAAAAAGAAAGGTTATAGTTTCTAGTTATACTAAAATAATTAAGATGCAAATGGAGGAAGGGCAAAAAATGGGCAAATCACTTATCCTTACAACATAACACTCATAAAAGTTATCAATCTGAATCTTGTGTTACATATGTGTAGAAAACAATGGAAAGCTGGATGCTTATCATGGCCCAGTTCATGTTGAATTTTAATTCTTTTCTTGCTTCTGAAGCATGAACCGTCCAGGCAATCTATTGCAAGTTATGTTTAAATATTCAGTTTGATGAGGATGGTTCTTTAATTATTTTGCAACTCGGAAGTATCAACATGCAGTGCAATGACTGCCTCGCGGAAAGAGGAAAAGAAAGAAGCTAATTGATTTGAATGAATGTATCTTAGCTTTAAACCTCTTTCATATAGTTGATTAGGTGAAATGACAAAGTCAAGCTATAAACGTGTTAGTTTCATTTGTTGTAGAAACAGCTCAGACTCCTTTTCAATGGATTCTAGAACCATTATTTTTCAAACACCTAAACTTTTTGTTCATGATCTATACTCTGGAATTCTAGTGATTCTAATTTGTTCTTGCTTCATGTTCTTAGCTTCATTCACAACATAATTAAACTTTTCATTCACTCACTTCAAAGGAGACATACTCGTATTACACTTCTTTAATATATATATATAGGAGGCGATTTTTATATAGAAAAATGTAACCCTTCTTCAATTTTTTTTACAAGGAAAGCTATTATCTAGGGATAGAAACAGAGATTATAAGTGCTGAAATTTGAACTGTTGATTTGCTGAATACCATTTTTAAGAGTGATTATATAAATTAATTAAGTCTAAAATTCTTCTTCAATCTTCTTTTGACAATGAAACAGGTTACATATAGTTATATATAATTGTATAGTCTTGATAAAGAGAGTCCCTATCCTTACCTTTTTTTTTCATTTTATATTTTTTTAAATAAAAGGAATTCTTTTAGAAAGTCTCAAATTCTTCTTCAATCATTTAGCATTTGGAATATTTTATGTTTCAGAGGCCCACATATATCCAATCATGTTATCTCCAATTGTTCTTTTAAAATCATTTTTTTATAGTTCCTTAAAGGTCACTATAGCTTTTAAACTTCAGAATATGTAAAGTGGCCTCCTCTATTTTGGGGTCGGTGGGACTTGACAGAAAGAACATAGAATATATAAGAGTGGATATTACAAAGAAAACTAATATAATTTAAACAAGTGAAAGGAGCCATCCGATTTCAGGTGTTTTCATTTTCGAATTTGTAATATATGGGGGAAAAGATATGTCTAGCTAGGCTGCACTACTCTCTGCTAATATAAAAATTAATCAAATTTTTGTCAAATCTGGAAGTCATCTTTGCAGCCTTAATGGTCTAGAATGAATGTCTTGTCCATATAATGCAAAAGAACATTTTCAAGTGTCATATATATTGTATAAGATTTGCTTGGTAAACCCTCTTTGAACTTTTATCATAAAGTCTACTAGAGGTTGAAACTAGTACTTTGAAGAAAGAAAGTATATTTTAGCATACAGCACTAGGAATGAGTTATACCAAGGACAGAATCGGTACAAGAGCGTGATATTGCTAGAGAACTTGACCAGTAGACAATGAAAACTGTTTATGAGCTATGCTGGTTTAAGGATAATATTTTCTTAATTATATTCTTTCGATTCTAAATCATACAAGCAACTCGATTTTTAAAAATTTCTTTTCTATTATTACAAGTCAAAGAATCTCAAAAACTTTGAACCATTATTTAATTAGTGATGAATCAATTATTCAACCAGAATGCTGATCATACGATATCTTGATCCTGATCCTGTTGAAGTATTGTAGGACAATATATCCAGCATGGAGAACACTATAAAAAATAATTTACATTGCCCTTATTAATTGGATGTCCCTACACATGAATGTGGATATATCATCCTGGCCCGGGGTGTGAGCTTGCCTAGTTTCCTTTTTTGTTCCCTTTGGTTCTATGCTGTCAAGGGTCTCATCTCATTTTGTCCATATGAAATGTTTGTCGAAAGGACAATTGAAGGAACTAATAAGTAAAGAAGCTAAGAAAGCTTAAATGGTTCAATGACACAGCAGAATATATACTATTCACTTTCTAGCTGAATATTAGCTTAAATGTTCTTGGGAAAGCAAATCACTTCGCTATTCCCTCAGTAAGCCTTGTGTCTTCGAAACACTAAGTAGCTTGGATTTTGTTGTAACTCTTCTTTTCTAATAATAATTGCTTTCAAGTTTAAAAAAAAAAAAAGAATCTAAAGAGCGCCCATCTCATGAACTTCACTGTGGATCTGCTCGTTGTTGATATACTAAGATTATTGATGACAGCCAAATCTTTTCCTTGACTCAAAGTATTTTGTGTGTAATGCATGTGTATGAATGTGAAATGTGATAAAATTCTAGGAGAAAACAAACTGTTCAAAATGGCATTTGAAGTGAAAGTGAGGGCTTTCAGAAAATGACAAGCTGATAGCATGATCATATCTAGATATATACATGGATCATATTGGTATGACCATTAATCAGAGTGGAGATTGAAGATCTATCTTTCATAGAATGAAGGAGAATTGATTTTAACTGCAGATAGAGAGCTACTACATTGATTTATAAATGAAAGTAGAAAAAGGTTACCCAAGAGCAACTCCTACCTTTTGCTAGTTGCCTAACCTTCTCTTGAAATATTAATTTTGCGATTAATCAGATCTCATTGGCTATTTCCCTAGGAGCAACTTTATATATATAAATATATAAATAAATATATACATACATACATATATATATATATATATTCAGGTTCTCACATGTTGTAGATCCAACTTTGTTGGCAGATGGTATACATTATGATCGGTTTCTTATTTACAGAAGATTATTGGTTCATCAAAATCAATAGTACTTTTTAGACTTAGGAAATCTTTTTGCTTTGATACTTACTTTGCTGGTAAGAACCATAGAAGGAATTGTGATTAAATTTAACCAAAAGTTTATTCATTCTTACTCTTTTTATCTTTTCCTTCAAGTAAAGCTTCATTATGGAATTGTGATTAAATTTGAACACTGATCAGTGGGTCATTTTATTTGGGAAAGGAAGTTTCCACTACTTTATTTAAGGATGACTTAAATCCATGGTTGCTATTTGTTTTAATCATTTTTACCTTTTTTATTAATTTTTATTAATTTTCATATTCAATTTTAATTTATTTAAGAGTGAATAATGCACTATCACATTAAATATGTTCCCTTCCACTTTGGAATTCAATGTATATACTAGGAGTTGAGACCAGTTTTGGTTTCAGAAAAGCTATTTTATGACCATGATTCAACTACAGATAAAACACTATGTGACCTTAATTTATTCCTTCAGCAATGAACTGGCTGCCTGCCTGCCTGCCTGCAGCATCTCGGAGGTGCGCTGAATTCTGAGCCAGTCCTTAATTATTTTATATTTGCTGGGCTAAATGGCTTCATGCCCTTTCTCTCCTGATTTTAGGCCTGAAAGTATGTAATGTCAAAACGAAGCCCAATATGGTCTCCAGTTGGAGATTTTGTAGAAGTACAAGGAGATTATAAAATACCAGGGAAATTGAAGGAAGAAGAATGAACCAGCTGGGAAATCACGCAATCCCAAGAATCATCCTAGTCTTTCTGATCTTGTGTGGGAACAAGTGAATGAGGGAAGGTGAAATTGCTATGTTCACATGGCTACTCTAACTTAAAAAACCGTGAAACAATCTCAAGGTCCAAAGTCATTAGAAATTAATTTGATGTTATTTCGTATTTAATAAATATTTAATATTTTATAATTTTATATTTAAATTAAATTTTTTTATATATTTTTAATTGATTTTAAATAAAATATTTAATATAATATCAAATAAAAAAATTTATTATTCATTTTAAATTTATCGTAATAATTTTTTTTTTTTATTATGCGTGATCAAAAGATATGTTAAAACAATATTATTTTATATCTAACGTTTAAAAATGATAAAAATTTATTAAACTAATATTATCTCACAGCTAATAAAATTTTCGGACAAACTGACAGAAAAAGGAAAAGAGAATCTCTGAAGGATAAATTATGCAGTACAAAGTACAAAAACAAATTCAATGGGCTCAATCCAGAAATGCGGTGCCCGTGCCTTCATTAAACATACTCTTACAGGCAGGCAAGACGACCAGAAACCGAAAATAAAGGCAAACTGATGAAGTGACTATCCACATCGGATCATCTGCTTTTTTTCACGTCGAAGCATCACTTCGTCAACCTGTTCCTCGTTTTCTTGCTATTCGATTTCGTACGTTTTGCTAATTTTACTCATCAACGGGTCCCTCTCAGCCATGTTAGTACTGGACAGGTGTAAGTAATTGCATTCCAACTTCCGAGCTACAAAAAAAAAAAAAAAGTAACTATCAGCATCCAATTTCAACTACCCTTTGGTAGAATTAGGAAAAATGTCTTAAATCACCGATTGTTTCTATCCTAAGTTGATTCCAAAAAATGATATTAGCTAAGGTAGTACGAGGTGAACAAGATTTTTGTAGAGGTAATAAATACTAAATGAAGATTAGCATCTTCTTGTATCTAAAAATAGAATTTTAAATGAATTTTATTGGAAATAATTTTATATATAAGAAATTGAAGAAGAGTTGTTTTTCGTATATTATATAATTGAATGAATTATATGTAATACTCTAATCTCATATAAGATATTACGAGAATTTGATATAAAAATATGAATCTATACTTAAGAGATATTTTATTAAATTTTTTAATTAAATAATATTTTACCAGTTTAACACATGCAGTTCCACCATAATTTTTACAAATTTCAGTTAGCCATATGATAGGTAAATGGTCCGAATCATACAATACTCAAAGACTATATAATTAACTGAAGAAGATAGGAAAGAGATATGGCGCATGTTACCATTGTGGAATCCCAGTTCTTCATGTCAACTCATAATTAGAAACAACGTTTTTATAGATTTGGACAGCCAGTAGAGTTACCAGACGAGCAAGGGATAGAGACTTAGCCCCCTAATTTTGGAGATCACAAACAGACAAGAGTGCATGGTTTACTGCTTAAGGTATGCACTGCTGTCGTTTGGGCGCATCTTTTGGTCATGTGCTTGATGCAGATAATTGCACATGGATGAGACTCTAGTTCCAATTCAATTATGAGCTCCTATCATTTTTCCTTAGCACAAATCCCATACTTGAACTTTCCAAAGCCCTTTTATGTTCACTCACTCTATGATCTTGCCATGTCGAAACTCTTGATCGCATTCCAACGGTTGATGTAAGATCTAGGCTCACAATTTTGGTTCCTGGATTGATGGAGAATGCTATCTTGGGTACTCATTTGGGGCAGATTTTTTTAAAATGAATATTTTTTTCCTGGGAATTGTAATGAATGTGATCTAATTAATGTCGCCTGCTGACTGTTGTTGAGGCATACATATAACTAGCTACCCATGTTACTTACCCGGTATCAATGCACCGGCATTACAGTGAACTTACTAGTATAACCTTCTATTTTTTTATTTTTTTTGGTAAAGAGGTGTAATTTGAAAAAAAAAATGATTATAAGTAATGAAATTTGAATATCAAACGTGTTAACTATTATATTTTAAAAATAATTATATAAATTAATTAAATTAAATTACGAGTTCATTTTAATGTTTTGAATGCATGGAAGTACCTCATTATTTCAATCACAAAATTTAAGTCTTTTTTTAGTTTATTACAGCAGGGACTGATAACCTGGCTGAAAGAGAGGGAAGAATAAGAGCTAATAGGAGTTTAAAAATTAGGTGAAAAACATGTATAGATCGAACATCACTCTAACCAAGATATGATGGGCTTAGTGGGAAAATGAATAATGATACATACATGTGAAATCAGTTACTATTGTTTTGTTTAAAGTAGCTTATGGTCACAACAGATCAGTTAGCCGAAACCAGCTAACTCCTCCAAGAGATCTATTTATAGCCAGCACTTCCTTGGCTTTCTGACTAAAGAAAATCAGAACAATCTTCAATTCTTGCTCAATCAAGCCTCTCTGTTTCTTCTTTCTCCTCTCCTGACAGAGACTTGGTTGCCTTGTATCAAATTGGCCATGGCTAAGCTTGTTTCCTTGTTGCTCCTAGCACTCCTTGGTATTTCCATGGTTGCAACCACAGTAAGTTCCTCTCAAAAAAAGAAAAAAAAAAGCACTTGATCTTAGTTAAAAGGTCGAAAAAAGTATATACCATGTGTATGCACACGATGAAATACACGTACACATACACGCACACGCACACGCACAAGCGCTATTACTCTAAATCTTCTGTCATAGTAATAGTAGTAGGCCCACTGCTTTTCTAGTGATAAATTTTGTGATAAATGCTTCTTAATTTGTAGGTTATGGCAAAAGAAACCCAGTACCATCCAGATGGTGTAAGTTTCTGGTTCTTTCTTAATTCATTGTTTAATCACTACATGAATGTTCATTATGTTCTCTGCCTGCTGAGAACTTCAATGTTTATTTTATATTAACAAAGCAAACTAATTCACTTTCTTCTTCAGGGGAATTATGGACCTGGAAGTCTTAAGAGCTACCGTAAGTAATTAATCTTCAACAACATTTCTTCATTCCATCATAATCTCAATATCACATTTTTTTTATGTATTTTTGGAATGAAATGAACAGAATGCCCAAAGGAGTGTACAAGGAGATGTAGCCAGACTCAGTACCGTAAACCATGCATGTTTTACTGTCAAAAATGCTGTGCCAAGTGCCTTTGTGTCCCTCCTGGCTACTATGGCAACAAAACCATGTGCCCTTGCTACAACAACTGGAAGACCAAGCGTGGAGGACCCAAATGCCCTTGATCAACTCTGTTGATTTATAAGACTATTACTTATTTTTTGCCCCCTCCTGATGCAGCTTTATCTGATCTAGCAATGCTATTGTGTGTCCTATATATCTATAAGCTATCTTCATTTGAGCAGGTCATGAATTTTGATGACCAATTATTTTCCCTAAATACAAGAATGGGAATTATATATGATTTTGTAGAATCAAAAGCAGAGCTACAGCACTGATACAATCTATGGTCTTTAAAGTTGTATCATTATGATATCAATAAGATATAATCATAGTTAGCAAAATTCACAGCACTCCGAGAAAACCCGAAAACGAATTTCTTGATCAAGTTTGATGCATGAACTTTTGGTAAATGAAACTATATATAATTCATTCAGCTGAAACTGCCATTTATGCAACAGAAACAAGAAAGCAAACAACCAAACATGTTAGAGGAAACTCAATATGAGGCAAACTAATGGTTGTGAATAATGATAAAGAAAATGTACCATTGACAACTCGAATGTGTTGGAAAATTTTTAAAATGAAGTGAAAGAAAGATTAAGAAATCCATAAAGTATGAAACAAGTGTAAATTGTATCTGCTGGACAACAATGGACAGTTTTGTTTCATAAGCAATTAAATATTTTCAATTGCCAATGACTCCTATTGAGTTTCAAGAGAGTTGAACTCAATAAATAGAAGAATTGGTTGAACAAATCGAACATAATTGAAAAGTTACAATTCTTGATTAAGTTCTCTGCAAATATAGAGAAGTATGAATCATCGATGAAAAATTCTATTCAATGCACCATATGATGTGGAGATAAGGGAGATTCGGTTTGGGATAGGAGAGAGAGAGGAGATATTAGTTTGTATGGCATACTGAGTGTGAGCATTGGATCGTGCATTAGGCTCAGGATTCTCAGAAGATTAATTGATTATAGGCAGGGCAGTGTAAATCAGATAAAGCAGCATTATAGCAGATCTAGCACTGCGAAAGCTAAGCTTATTTTGTCCCTTGGGATACGTTAGAAACAGGGTACTCTAGTTACTGCTATTTTTTGTTTCAGTTTTTGGAAAAGGAATGTAGTAATTAGTAGCCAAGTCTTTTTCCCAAAAGAGAGGTCCAATGTTCAGTTCTGCCTCAATATTGCAGGTGATACGCCTTCCTGAAATCGTCTCTTTGATGCTATTGTCAGCCATTATGTTCCTGTGATTATAAGTAACGAGATTGAGCTACCATCTGAAGATGTCATCGACTACTCAGAATTTTCCATATTTGTTCGTGCATCAGATGCTGTAAAGAAGGGATATCTACTGAATCTTCTTAGAGGAATTAAGAGAGACCACTACCAGTGGACCAAGATGTGGGAAATTTTGAAGGAAATTGTTCGTCACTTTCAGTATTATAGGTCCATATTGCTTCTGAGTACACAAATTCCATCGTTCAATTGTTCAGAGAAACAAAAATGAAAAAGTTCATCAGCTTATTCCTTTCATTCTCTGAAATTGATGCACAAGCTGAATTGAAAACCCAACAGCATAGCACAACTGAGTATATAAAACATTTTGTATAGGCTAAGTTGGCTTGGAGCTCATAATTTGAAGTTTTGAGAATTACATCATACATTACTTTCAAGTTTTAAGAGATGAAAATTTGAAGAAGATTGCATCTTACCAAAAGAATAAAAAAACAAAAACAAAAGAAATTGAGTATCTCATTGCCAAATTCAAAAACTAAAATCAACTAAGGTGAGTAAATCCTCAGAAAACTAGGAAGCATGTTACAATTTTTTTTTTTTTTTTGAAATCAAGGAGGCCATAGCCTATGGAAAGAGGAAGGGGTTACATGCCGAGATTTGAACCCCAAACCTGCTGGATGTCAATTCTTAAGGTTACTGCATGAACCAATTACGAACCATGCTACACTTCTATAATAGAAAGTACAATCATCCTTAGGTATTCTTCTATTGGTTAGGACCTAGTTTTATACAATAGAGAGAGAGAATCCTGGCTAACAGATGGAATTTTAGCTGCAATTCTTCTGCTCAAGCAAAAAACTTTCTACTGAAACAAATAAAAATGTAGAAAATCCAACAAACCCGCATGGAGAAACAACTGAGAAAGCAGAAATCCATTTGCTTTTCTTTGCGTCAGTTATAGCCTCAAGCCATCACATCCTTTGGTGACAAACTGCTTCACCACTTCTGTCTGAGAAATGAAAAAACAGCATCAGACGTCAACATTTGTTGTGAATGGGGTCGGATCCTTTTTTAACTCTTCTTTTGTTTGACTGATTGGGATCAAACATAATAGAAGGTGCAGGTGCCAAATTTTGTCTGGTTTGCAAAGAGTCCACAGCAACAGCCTTGAGAATGCGTGAATTTTGAACAATTGGTAACAAACCTTTGTCCCATCTGAGAGCAATATCAATGCCTCTCAGGCCAGAAACCATCTCTGGTTGAAGAACCAAGAGACCAATACAAGCAATAAAAATGAACCCGCTATTAACTGCAAAAACCATGTTTATACCAAAGAGGAAAAACAAGGGAGACAGAAGACAAGAGGTATCTCTTGCTGGAGACAATGATGAGAAAATTAACTATGTTGTCTGAGACAGCACCAGCCTACATCCTATGGCTTATATCTGCAGGAATTAGCCTGGAGTTTATCTTTTATGGGATTTTGTAGACTAAAAGCATAAAGCAGGAAGGGCGTCCAGAACATGTAGGGAAGTTTTAGATTCACCTCAATCATAAGCCTGCCACAGAAGCAATATAAAGGCTGTATTAGAAGACTCTGACAGGTTTGAACAAAAAGTTATAGTTGGAACACTATCCTTGGGAAGACAAGTATCTTTTCATTTTCGTTTCCCTACATCTCCCTATCATTTGCCTTGCTCTTTTTTACCAAACAAAGACCAAACCACTTTGAACTCTCAGCCGACTTGCCACATCATCCGACCATGCTGACATGTTCTTGCTCCATGTCTTCAACTATGCTTGGCTAATAGCTTCCATTCTAATAAATACTTTGGTAAGTGCTCTGATGTGTTCATATTGCACAATTTACAAGTCTTAATAAATCAATCCCTTGAATGCATGACAGTATAAAAAACAACCAGGTCTGGACAATTTTTTTCCTTTTTTTTATAATTGAGCTGCCAGGATTTAAATTTTGATCACCAAAATTAAGAGTCTAACACTTTACTAATAGATAACAAAATTGACATCATATTATTCAATATGTTCATTTTTTTTCCTTGTGCTCCTTTGCTTCTCTCCAGGATAACAAAATTATTGAACCATTAAGAAGGATCATTTTCTTTTGGTCTGATATGCGAGGAAATATATCGAGTTAATTGCTTTATTAGCCATGAAAACTAAAGTGAGTTTGGGTGGCCAAAGCAAGCCAAGAGCCAGCCAGAATTCAGATATGTACAGTAACAAGAAAGCCATCAAAAGTAGAGATGTTGGGGGAAGGGTGAGGAATGGGGAACAGTAACATCTCAACAAAAAACAATCACTTGCTTTATCCTAAACCCAACTTTAGAATTCCAAGCTCTTCTCTCCATGCAACAAAAATCGTAGTCTTGGTTCCTTGTGCTTAATGGGTTTCCTTTATGCTTTTCTTTCCTTTTCTTTCTTTTCTTTGGTTTGCCCTACTCTTGCCTTCCGTTCAAAGTTCCAAAGAATATACCCAAGTCAGGGCTTCTCTCCCTTATTTGACCTCCTCTCTTGTCTCCAAGTTGCTTTTCTTTTTTTTTTTTTTCTCGTGTATCCATGAAGAGCCCTCACTCCCTTCAAATTTAAATTAATACTGTATATAAGGGACCCTTCTTTAATAAAAAATTACATTAATCCTTTGTTGGTTGTGGAAGTTTAGACAATTTTTTTTCAAAATAATCACTCTGAGAATAAAAAAAAATTATAGATATTATAATTTGAATATCCAACTTATTAAATTTATTACATGAATCAACAAAATTAAATCTCGCATTAAAAAATTTTAAAACAAAAAAAACTTGAGAGAACATAACTGCTTAGAGTTACATAATAATAATAAATTTATCTGGTCTTTGCTCTTTATCCATGTTATTTTGGATCCCAGGTTTAAACCATCGTTACCTTCTTTAGAGGGGAGCACAAAGAACAACAAAATACCGGGTTATTGGCAAATTATACAGTTTTTTCCAACGTGTCTTTGGCATTGTGATTTTAAAGACAGAAAAAGGAAGAAGAATATACTCGTACTGTTCGTTGGAAGGATGGGGACAGGTGATGGTCCAAACCTAATACACACTATTTTAACATAAAAACTAGTAGAGTGGACCTTTTTCTTTAGTTCCATTTATAAAGCAAAAGAAGAAACAAAACTAATTTTGAATGAGTTGTTGCTTTCCCAAATCATCATATTCACCATCACTCATATTCTCTTTAAAACCCATCTTACAGGATCTCACTCCCATCTGCATGCTCATGCATGCATCATATATGGTCTATCCATCTTCAAATATTCAGGTTAAAGCACTTATAAAATTTGGCATGTGACAGAATATCAAAACCTAAAGCCCTCATGATTCCTGGAAGACATCATCAACCAACCAGCAGAGTTAGAACAATAAGACCTGGGTAACTGATGTGTCTGGGAAATCCTATAATAATAATAAGACCTGGATAAAATGTTTGACTTCGAACAGTTCCAACTACTGACCAGCAGAAGGTAGTAACAAGAGCAATCAACTGGTGCATTCAACTCCATAATCATGATATATTAAGGAAAACATTTTGCATTATGACAAGATTAGATAAGTTAAATATGAAATGGTAGAAGTGAGTACATATTAAATAGAAAACCTGGAGTATCCAAGAAAGTTTGGATTTATATTTCTCCGACAACAACTCCAGTAATCCAAGTTCCTCATGCAGAGAATATGAGGCAATGAGATTCAAGATGTGAGTACAAACATAAACAGTGAAATTAATGCCTTCAAATAAGGAGGAAAACAGAGAAGGCCTTCAGGGTTTTCTGAAAAACAATACAACAAAATAACTGCAAGGAACACAACCACATCGTTCTTTCACTGCTAGTAGATTGAGTAAAACAATTTACCCATAGCTTCATTACTAACCTACCCTCTTCACCACCATTGCCTCTTACCAGAGAAAAGGACTGTCACATTATTGAAGTGGCTCCTGATGAGGAGTCTCTGCAGGTTCTGGTGCTATACTGAACTGTACACCCCGACGTTGCCCTGCCTGTATCATAAATGCAACTTCAGTTGCTGCAAGAGCTGCCGCTTCCTGTTTCAATAGGGAAAAAATACATAGAACTAATTACTAAAACAAACTTTTTAAGTAATATAAATAACTTGAACCAGCTAAAACAGCGTAAGCCAATTTAGCTTTTGTTTATGGAAACAGCATGCATACAATTACTACTAGGAGTGACAGCAGATATCAAACATGGAAAACTTTAAGTTTTAAGTTCTTAAATGAATTTTGGCCTCTAATGAATAAAACTACCAACAGCCAAACAGTTTTGATGCAATAGTTTCTTCATAAGACTCAAACCTTTTCAAGTATATGGAGTACACATCTCAAAATATATTTTCAGTATTCTTCTTCTGTTATCTAGATTAACCTCAACATGATTAAGTGAAATAGTGCAGGCCATTGATTAAGAACACCAGAGCCCTTACCTGTCTCTCCCTTCGGCGTTGCAATATGCTGATGCCCCAGGCCATGATGTAACATGGGAGAAGAAAGCCGGCAGCACGAAGCAGGAAAAGCTACAAAGCATAAAAAATTTGAATCAAACAACAAAACAATGTAAACTACTAAAAGATTAATGCAAATCATGCTGTGCTTACAGAGAAAATTGTAGATGCATCATCGTCCCCATCTCCATTGGTTAGGTATAGAGCATGCCTCAAGAGTAGAAGAGCCATTAGCTGCAAATAAACAGAGAAAATAAGATCTAAACAGAACTAGAAGAAGAAAATTAACAGCAATTCCTGTTATTGGTTGGGAGGGAGAATAAGGACAGAAAACATGTTTCATTGAACTGAGAACCAAAAGTGTGACTATATTTTCCCTTTAAAACAAAAACTAGTAATTCAGGACTTAGGATGCAACTCAATAACCTAAACTACAAGTTTAGGTGAGGCTGATGACTAGTACACTGCCAGCTCAAAAAGACATGGGCAAACCAGATAAAAGAATAATGCATTGCATAGCACACAAGAAGCCTTGAACATTGATACTCAAATCTATAGTAAGCAGCAAATTCATAAAGTAAATAAAAGGAAGTAAGGAACCACCAAGATTTTTTTCTTAACTTAATGCCAAAAAGTTAGGACAGCTAATGAACTGTTATAGTTTTATGGAGGAATAAAAGCTTACAATTAGGGCAGCAGAGCGGCAAAATGCAGCTCCACTAGCATTGGTATCAGCATATTCATCATAATCTGCCTCCAAAAGATGGCGTTCTGCAGCTGCCATTGCTAAAATTCGAGGATCACGCAAATCCAAGGGAGCACCAGAGATTGTCCAACCCTCACTGTATCAATATGAAAAAAAAAAAAAGGGAAGACAAGAGGTCAAAGGTGATGAGCATACAATAGCAACCCATCCTACAGATTACCAAACAGCTTTGGGCATAAATAAAACAGGAAAGGGTCTTAGACATATCAAAACTTCAACTGAGGTTACAAGAGCATCTTTGAAACAAAACCAAGAAAGAAAAAGAGAGCAAAGTTAGAGCAGCACTAATCTTTGTCATGTCTATCTTCTAGTTAAGTAAGTGCACACTCTTGAGACTTGCCTGATATCAATTGTAGCATCCTCCGACTGCGGGGGACGTGGCGGCGCAGTATATCCCGGTTGGTAAGGCTGTAAATCAAATATTTTTAGCAGGAAAAGTTAGTAAATTGGCCCGATAATTCAACTCAAAACTAAATCTATTTCAGTTAATGAAATATTTAACGACAGTGTTTGTTGCGCAAAAAAAAAGTTAAGTAAAATATAGTTATCATATGAACCTTCCAACAAATACACGCATAATGGTTATCATATGAACCTTCCAACAATTACACACATAATCACACATATTTTGGTATATCATATGGACAGCAAAAATCACCAAGTAGGAGCTAGTAGCAAAGTACTATCAAATGCATCTGATAACATGCACAAGAGAACTGTGGGTCAAATATTTATGAATGCACTTTTCTGTCATTTGAAAACTTGCAAAATCAAAATAAACAATTGTAGCAAAAGCTTGATCCATAAGCCCATATTTATTAGCAGGCAAAACTTCACTTTGAACCAGACACACATTTTTAAGTCCCCATCACATAAAGCCAAACCTACATCATGCTGAAAATAGAAGAGGTAGATCAGCGACATCCAACCTTTATCACAAAGCATTATGGCTCAAATATTTATGAAAACATTCCTCTGTCATTTGAAAACATGCGACATCGAAATAGGCAATTTTATCAAAAGCTTGATGCATAAGCCCATATCAATTAGCAGGCAAAACTCCACTTTAAACCTGACACACAGTTCCCAACACATAAAGCCAAACCTATGTCATGTTGAACTTGAACTTAGAAGAAGTAGATCACCAACATCCAACATTGAGCACAAAGTACGCAGAAAAACAGTGCTAAACAAGATGTTTATAACAATCGATTCTTGCATCAAGGTAGCTTGCAATCTGTTACTCAAGCCATTTCAGATCAAATCATGGTTTTCACAAGCTTGGTGCTCAAAAGGTGGCTGCTGAAGTACATCTCATTTCCACTTGAGAAAAAAAATTACTTTAAATAACATATAGGTCATTAATATTGCCACATCGTATTCAATAAATTCACTGCCTATGAGGCAGGAAGACTTGACTCACAGAGAGGGTATAAATTAGCCATTGACAAAAACTAAGTAGATGAAGTTATATGAGAAAGAACAAGTAAACAACATAATATGATAACTGATTCTTAGACTATACCAGCTTCACTTATGGAATTAAGGACCAGGGTACTTAGAGCAACCTTTGATTAATATTATTGTTATTTTACTAGAAGAAAACAACTGAACTACTGCTGCATGTACTTAAATGGTTTCATCCCAACACCTTGAAACAGAAAGATTATCCATGTTCCAAACATCAAAGGTAAAGCTTTTACACTTAAAATTCTTCAGTGACATAACTTATTTTACATTTGGGGTTAAAAGATGAAGCATAGAATCACTCAAAGAAAGGAAAAAATGCAACCAGGATAAAGGACCAAAATTTTCTTATGGAAAAAAAATCCACTAAAAGTATTCCCCTAGGATAACAAAGAGCAAAGAAAAGTATCCTTGAGCATTTAAGATGTTGTTAGGCTAACGATTACAACAAACAATTCAAAACCATCAGATGAAACGCAATGACAAGTCAACATAACAAACAGTAAAAAAAAAGGTGAAGTTGAAAAGCTCCCTTCAAGATTAGGGAAAATCAAGGAAAAATAAAGCTAAAGCTACCATATGACCAGCGTTCAGTCTTTCCTCCTCTGAAATTGAAAACTGCCACAATATTAAGGTTTTTTCCCCTTTTTTAAGGACATGATAAAAAACATCATGCCACCAGGTAAATGTGCAACTTTACACCATTTTTGTTAATCAACAACTTAATAAGTGACTCATCAACAAAAAGAAAGGAAATTAAAATTGTTACCCTCTAAAATCAGACACTCGTTTATATTCATAGATATGCAAAATGATGTGGGTGAAATGCAAATATAAAGAGCAGCAGATTTCTCCCTCCTAAACGAACTGATGAAGAGAGCACCATTTCCAGAGCAGAGGTTTACCTGATGACATATCTCACAAGTTACATCTCCCTTCTCATTGCACCAATGCTGAACACATTTCCTGTGGGCAAACTGGATGATAAAAATTTGTCGGTTAAAGCTATTACACTACAAAAATATGAAGACGAGCCAATGAAACCATATAAAGATTAAGACAGAAGTAATTAGAGGCAACCTGACATAAAAAAAGAAAGAAAAAGTCATCAAACCCTTTCTCCACATCATGGTGGCACTCAAGCATGGCTCACATATATCTTTTTCACAAAAAAAGGAACTTCTACAGTACTTAGAGCAAATGTTAATTGAAACTATTAGAGCTAATAGCATGCCATAATTGGGGCAGACAAGACAGTTTTATAGAATAAAGTGAAAGAGAAAGCTTCAGGGAGTAAGTCTCAAAATGCTCCAAACAGTTAATACCTTCAAACTGCCACTGCATGAACAAGGTGTCTCCAAATTTTTAATGCTGTCCTCCTCCTGGCAGATTCGGCATTCAACTGTCTGGATAAGTGGTTCTTCTTCATCACACGAGCCATGTTCTTCCACTTCCTCGTGTTCTTCCACTTCCTTAACAACAATAGCACAAGCATGTGGCTCAGCAACTTGAGAAGAACCTTCACCAGAAGATCCTGCAGCCTCAGCTTGTTGTATTGATTGCAAACTTTCAGGTGTTATGAGACGGTCAACGCTTAAAACCAGATGATCACCCATTTTTATCTAAAATGGTTCTTATAACACAACAATACAGCAAAAATTCTCATTAAAGTCAGAATAATATGTGAGGCTGTAACTGCAAAATGTACTTGCAAAACTAAAATACAGGTCTTTGACTATAAAACCTAATACTAGATTCAACTAACTGCAACATAAATAAATTAGAAAGATATAAAAAATCAAAATCTTTTTTTTTTATTTTTTTGGTGTCATTGCTGAAACCACCGCATATGAACATCACATGCTGTAAAAATTCTCTTTCTCTGTAACTATCTTTCTTTATTATTATTTATTTGCATATAGAATTCAAAATCTTCTCTTTTATTTAATTTTTAAACTTTTCTTCATATGGGCTATACCCACAAAAATATATCAAAATGAAATTTAAAAAATAAAAATAAAAATAAATAAACCAAGTACCACAAAATTTTCAGCTTCAGTTATCATAAGATTCAGCTTTTACTCCAAATCTTCAGCTTTCTTTAATTTTCCACCGAAAATAAAAAAGAAGAAAAAATTATTTCTTTCATTTTCTCAGCATCCAAGCAACCCAATCCAACCCAACCAAAATTCCAAACTTAAAAGAGAATCAATGCAAAACCCAAAAAAAAAAAAGAAAGAAGAAGAAAGAAAAAGCCAAAATCATGATCAGATTGAACAAACCCAATAATTAAAAACCAAAACATAATAGTATAAAAAAATTACCTGACAATGGCGCTTGTATTTTGGAGTCTGAATTTTTATTTTTTTTTTTTTTGCTTCTCTTTATAAAGATTTAATTAAAAGTCTAAGGTCTTTCTTTTCCTTTGCTTGGAAATGAAACAAATTGACAAAAGAAGAGCTTTGCTTTTCCTTTTTTATATATATAATTTTTTGTTACTTTTTCCCTTTCTTATATAAACTATAATTTATTAATTTCAAACCAAGAAAATATAAAAAAGATAAGAATTTTATTTCGATAATGACATTGTGGCTCGGTTTAAACGAAGCCATGTAGTTTAACGTCCGTCCCAAGATAAGGATTCTTATGTAAATTTTCACTGTTTGTCGCTTTTTGATTTCTAGACCTGTTACGATAAACCAATAATTTTAGATATAATACGATTATATAATATAAATATATATATATACAGATAATATAATTTAAAATTAGTAAATATTATATGTAAATTTAATATAAATTAAAATATGAATTTTATATTTAATATTTAATATATTAATATAAATTATAATATAATAATTTTTATATTTTAAATATATTTAATATAAAATAAATATAATACAAATATACTAATTATTAGATAAGTTATTAGATTTTATTTTTTGATAATAAATAAAAAGTCAAAGGTTAGGGTTGGAAATTCCATATTAGACCCCATTCACTAAATTTCGGATAAAGCTATGGTGGGCAACAAGATGAAATTTTTTTTCTTTTGTTTGTTTCTAAAAAATATGATTGAATTTAAGGGTGACTTGGAGATAGAAACAATGAAATGGTGAGTCAATTATATCAAGCTTGACTTTGGCTGAGACTCAATCGAAACACAGCTTTTTTTCGATTTGTTTTTTTTTTTAATTTAAGATATAAATTTTGTATAAAAAATTCCGATCCAGGTTTAAAACTTTTTTTCTTAAGACCCTTTAGGCATGTTTTAAATAAATTTGATTGACAATTGGAGGTTAAAATATTAAAAAAATTCATAAATTTTTTTATATTATATTTTTATTATATCTAAATGATTTTTTTATTTGTATCCAAGCATACTTTTATATCAAATAAAAAATTATTTATGTTAAAAGCTTATTTATATACAAATTAAATGATAAAAATTTATTTTGATACAAACTACAGTTAAAAATTTTATTTGAATACAAAATAAAAAATAAAATTTCATTTAGATATAATAAAAATATAAAATTTTATTTAAATAAAATTCTAAAATTCTAAAAAAATTTATTTTTTTTGTCAAGATTAAAGCAAATAAAATTTGAATTAGAAAACCCATTAATATCACTATATAAAATCCTTTTTAGAGCATTATATAACATTTATTCACTCATAATTTTATAATTTGTTGTATGGATTTTAAAATGTTATAAATTAAGAAAAAAATTCTAATGAAATAAATTCAGAAAAATTATTTTATACATCAAAGTAAAATTTTTAAATTCACAAATGGGTTAAAAATTTTATGCATATTCCATTCAAATATAGTTATAAATATTAATTAATTATTAAATACACATAAAAAATTCATCTCATTTTATTTTTGAAATTTATAAATTCTAACATTAGTATATAAAATAATAATTTGTAAATTAATATACTAATTTATAAGGATTATTATGATATGTTCATTATATAATTTTATATTAAAGGAAAAAATAATACAAATATTTTAAAAACCCAAAGCATAGACAATTGTCTACTAAAATGCAAATTGTGTTTTACATGGTGTCGAGAATATATTTTAAAAGTATTTTCCATTGCAAAATAAAAACATTACTTTTTATGATTGAATTAAATCTAAAACTTTTTTAATATAAATATAAAATACCATAAAGATGTGGATATATTAATAACGGTTTAATACATTAATAATAGTATGATTTATTGATAAAATATTATATTTTTATTTTTAATTAAATTTAATAATTTAATAATTTATATTATATTTATTTCATATTAAATATATGTAAAATATTAAAATTATTGTATTATAATTCATGTCGATATATTAAACATAAAACATATATTTTGATTTTTATTAAATACATATATAATTTTTACTAAAATTTTAAATTTATTATGTTTATATTTTTATCTCATATAATCATATCATATTTAAAATTATCAAACTTGACTACGTCAAACACAATTAAATTTTTGCCATGAACATTGACTCATTCCTACAAGCTTCATTGAAACCCACCAACTCACCAAGGTTTTGTTAGATTTTTCTAATACTAGTTTCTTTTGGGAATTAGGATTAAGACATTTTCCATTTTCTTAACTTTGACCAGCCTTTCTTCTTTTATTATTATTTTTTTTTTGAAACTATAAAATTTTTGTGCCTATCCACCCACCACATCCATATTAAATTCAATTATCCATCTAAGAAACTTTCATCAAGAACAAAAATAAATGGAACAAAAAATCCATCTAAGAAACTTTCATCAAGAAATAATAATTCTTGAAAATTTGAAATAAGATAAAGAAGGTAATGTTAGATATTGTTTTGTGGTGGGTCGCTAAGCTCTTGCAATTGATATTAATTGGGTAATGGCCCTAAGCAATAATTTAAAGAGACATATGTATGAACTTTATGGATTGTTCTTTTGAACAAACATTATCATTACAAACGTGATATTTAAGAGGCCCCAAGTGATGGAAATTTTGTAGAATTTGTGATGATGATGATGATGATTCAAGCTAAATGATATATCAAAATTTATAGGATAATAATCTTACAATATAAATAAAAGCATATGTGATTGTTCTTGAACTAATGGATGAAATTATAAGTATAAATTATAATTATAATTAAGTATTTAGATAATTAAATAAATATATTAATCAATTAATAAATTTGAACATTATTAAATAAATTTAACATGAAGTTAAAATAAATTCATGCACAGTAAATTTTTAAATTGAAATCTCATTGATAAAAATAATGTGACACTATTTTATTTTTTTTATATGTGGATTGATCTTAAATATTGACAACTTATATATGTATTATTTGGTATTATTGAGAACTTACAATTTTTATTGTTGGGAATGGTTGACGGAGGGGAATGATTTAAACGGTACAAAGCACATTAAAAAATATTATGTGAAAATTTTATAGTTTAAAGTAAGCATAAAAGGGTAAAAAAAATTCTCAAATAAAAATTTAATAATTATTTAAATATTTGATATTTTTTATAATTAATTAAATTTTTTATTTTTTATTTTAGATTAATTAAATCTTAAACATTTATTTAACCAAATTAAATTCTTAAATATTTATTTTCACCTTAATTGAGTTTTTGATTAGATAAAAATTAATGTTTACGATTAATCTATTCTT